TTTCTTTCTTTCTTTCTTTCTTTCTTTCTTTCTTTCTTTCTTTCTTTCTTTCTTTCTTTCTTTCTTTCTTTCTTTTTTTTTTTTTTAAGGTGGCTAGGATTCTGCAAACACTGCTTTTCCTCTGACAGGAGGCTTTGTTAAGCTTTTATTAACAAGGGCTGGAAGGACACAGGAATTTACTCTTCAGTTTACACTCTCTTTACACTGTGCCTGTTGAACACGAGATCTGTGGTCCAGGCTCCCTTCTCTCAAGATTTTAGCCTTAGAACCCCAAACATGACCATTGGGTTTGTGGCTGCCACCTGATGTCACTAGCTCTGTGTTATTCAATGCTCCCTCTGAGTTCTCAGTCTTCATTAACCAATTCGGTATAAAAATGGTTGGTGTAGCTTTTGTCCTTGATGGGTCCCAGGCCGGTGTTAGCTCTACCAAGCCATGGTGCCTGTGGCCTGTCTCACAACCTACCACAGCTCCATAGATGTTGGCACCATCGCTGAAAACAGGATTTTTTTCAAATTCTTCAAATTAAACTCTCCAACTGCACTAAAAGCAAAGAGACTCTCCCTCCTCTTCCACTGTTGTCTTCATGGCTACTAACTTTCACAAGTGGCAGCCCCAGCCAAACAAACATTTCCACAGTACTGAAATGAATTATCCAGTGGCTTACACATGTTTAAGTGAAAAGAAGAGTCACAGGTTTTTCTCTTTAAAATCTAGAAATGATTAAGCTGAGTGAGAAGACATGTCAGAGGCAGAGAGAAGCTGAACACCTGTCACACTATCAGCCAGTGAATACGTAGATGACAAGAGAGCCAGGTGACCTTCCTGTTCGTAGAGAGGATGTTCCAGGGACCCACACAGAAGACCAAACCAGCCACAGTATTCTTGGAGACCAAGTCCAATGGCTAGCAGGTTCCCTCTTTTTAACCCTGTGAGGGTTAAGAGAGGCAAGGAAGTTGTAGATGCTGACAGCGGTTGGCACATGACATTCAGGAAAGAAGTACTTTTGTTACACCAAAGCACAAGTGAAGTAGCGGGCACTGCAGCAGAGGCTGCAGTGAGCTACCCAGAAGACCCAGCGATTTCCCCAAGTCAAATAGTTTCCCACTGAAAGAAGACACAATCTAGGACTTAACAATGACTAGCTTTAATAGATTGGCTGACTCTCTACCAGGACTACTGTAGCTGGTGACTATTATGACATGGTTACTGAATGTTTTAAGAGCGTACTGAAAATGTGTTACTCAAGGGAAAGATTCTTTCAGATTATTATTATTATCTCCCCCCCACCCCTCCACCCCCCGGAGCTGAGGACCACATTATTATTATTTGATGCCAATGCATCTGGCCATTCAAGAGCTCTGATGGAAATACATAACAAGATTAATAGCATGTTCACAAAAACTAACACAATATGCATTCTGCAGTTATGGGTCAAAAACTCATTTCAACTTTTAGGCCCCACTGTTTAAGAAGCATACTTCATAGGGGCTGGAGAGATAGTCATAAAATGCCTGCCGCTCAAGCATGAAAACTGAGTTAGAGCCTGGGATCTCACCTTTTTAAAAGCTAGGCACTGGGACTGAGATGCTTAGTTTGTAAACTGCCTGTCATGCAAGGATGAGGACCTGAGCTTGGATCTCTAGGGCACATAAAAGCCAGGTGCCATGGCTGCATCTATAGCCACAGTATGCACAGGGAACAACAGAAATAGATCCCTGGAGCTCAGTGGCCAGCAAAATCTGCCTAGTTGTCAACTCCAGGTACAGTGAGAGACCCCGTTTCAAAAAACAAGGTGGAAAGTAATAGAAGAAGATGGCTAGCAGTGTTTCTGGCCTCGACACGTGCATCATCCAAACACGTATGTATGTCTGTACACACATAAGAACTTTAGAGAAACATCATAGACTCTCAAAAATAAAACTGCCAAGTGGGCATGCTTACAATCCCAGTGTTGGGGTATTCAGGAAAGGGGAACCCTGGAGTCAACCAGCCTAACTGGTGAGCTCTAGTTCCATAAGAGACACTGTCCCCAAAATGAAGGTGCATGGGACTTGAGAAGCAAGACCCAAAGTTGATAACATGATGCATGTAGCCTATTTACCCTGCACACAAATAGGAAACTACATTTCATGGACAACAGTGATCCTTCTGAAAAACAAAGTCAACTGACTGCCTTCTGGAAAGGACCCACACTTCAGGTGCTGCTAAAACGCCTGTGATCAATGGGAAGAGGTCAAGACAGCAACAGTTACAGGAGTTTGGGCTTCAGTGAGCCTCAAGAGCTTTCTGACTGTGACCTCATTCCCCTTCAATGGCTGAGAAGCTGTTTCATACAGATCAGAGAAAAGATGGTTTCTTGAGACAGATCTACTGCTGACCCAGGTCTTGCCGATGGTGTGGATGGACAACAAAAGGTTGAAACTTTAACTGGTGATTAGACAGCAGCAGGGGAGGAGAGCTTTCTGTGAGTAAACTAAACAGCAGCACATGCTTTGTAAAACAAAGAAAAAAAGACACTAGTGTCTTATTCTTGGGCACTGCACACCCAACCCAACCTTTAGCACCCCAAGTCACTCACTTTGCTGTGATACCTGCTTTATTGGGGTGGTCTAGACCCAAACCTGCCATATCTTGGGGGATGTGCCTTTGTTCTGTACCCAGAAAGAGGAATCAACATTTTGAGTTTCAATAATCTCAATGATTCAACTAATCATGCTGTATATTTATGTATGGAAAACTGAGGACTTCCCCCTGCCCCCACTTAAAATTTTCAAGGTAGGTTAAAGGGAAAAAACCTGGATAGGCTGAGGTTCTTGCTCAGCGTTTGTCCGAGGAAGATCCTGACAGGCTTCATCCCATTAGCAAGTGGCCCTCAACACTGGGTAGGGTGCAAACACTGAGACCCACCTATGTCTTCTAATGTCATCTCTGTAGAGGAGGTATAAACGGCCGAAGACAAGACAGTGATCAAGAAAGAAGAAACTGCACTAGAGGTCACAGGGAGAAGAAATGGAAGCACAGTAGTTTACATTCACAGTGTATGGGAAGGACCCCAGGGAATGACAAGAAACACCAAGACTCTAAGAACTACCTGCCTGAGGACGGAAATACTGTGACCAAAGGCACTGGCTCACAACAGCAGCTTTGGTTTATAAGTAAGTTTAGCAGAAATGGAATTTCAATGTTGGTTTGTCAGGCTACCAAACTCTTGTATCTGCCAACTACAGCCTGTTGCCAGTGCAATCCCACTTCATTTGATTTTTGTGGAGCACTAGGCGTTGATCCAGGACTTTGTATACTAGGCATGCACTCTACAGCTGACCTACATGCTCAACCCTCCTTACTACCAGCTGTAAAGAAGCAAGAACAGGAACCTGGGGGAACACACCTTGGAGGCCACCTCTACCAAGACCAGCGACCTAGAGGGCCAGGGCTAACTCCAAGGTGAGACTGTAGTCAGGACAAGCAGAGGTTAGACACTGGACAGCTCTTACATGCCAGCTGTAGTGTTATGAAAGAATATGTCATGTTTTTAAGAAAACAAAAAACAAAAACAAAAACCACATTTAAGTCTCTGCTCTAAAACCAACAACATTCCTGAAGAATTAAGGGAAACCTTTGATGTTTACAGCTTGATTTTTCTGAAATGAATTAGGATATTAGAAAACATCTAAATTAAAATGCAAAGTATTAGTAGTTCATGATAGGTACATAATATCTGCTTGACAAAATATGCATGTGACTTACCTTCCTCTCCCTAAACCAGGAGAGGATTCAAGACTACTTGGCTCCACACGCCCAGTTCCAATCTCTCTCTTGGCATAAGCTGAAGGGTTCTGTATTCGTGTTCTAGTTTGCCCTGCTTGCCTCGTCTGTGGGCTCCGGACGCCATTAATTAATCGATCTGCAGTGAAGTTAAATATTGAAGGACTTTCTAGCAGCCCGGGCCCTCTCTCTGTACTAGGAATCGCATGGCGCAGATGAGACTTACTAGGATTCCTGCAAATGAGATGTTTGTATACGCTGAGTTATAACACAATCAAGGAGTACAGAATGAGCATGCTAATGTGAAATGTGTCAAGATCTGCTTCCTACTTAATGAACACATGGTAAAAGTTGCCCCCAAAGCCTTCTCTGAAGAGAATCTCTTCCTTACTCCTGGCAGCCAGCTTTGGGGTGTAGTCTTTATATAGATTACAGTTTTAAGTTTCATCTCTGATGAGCATTCTTAGTGGTTACACAGATCTCTCATTACAGATAACCTGGGACAGTGAAAATGAAGCTCGTGAGCATCAGAAACACCATGGAACTTGCCTGCTTCTAGGAGGATACTGTCTGAGTGATGTCAGAGGAGACGCTGTAGGTTTGAAGGTCGGAGATGTAAACCCATTTATAAATCCAGTACTTGGAAATGGAGTTACCTGGATTCATTAACAGAAAACAAGTATGTAAAACACGAGACATGAGACAATTCAATTGGATTTACAATTGTATCTTGGGTAAACCAGATAATGTCTTCCTCTTGCCAGAGGTGTGAACTCCATGGCCCCAGATGGCATGGGAATCCTGAATATAGGCATTGCCTGATGACGCTTAAAGTTAAGTTATTACTACTAGTATAACTACCTTCAGTCTGGCAAGAAGTGGGTGATCCTTTATTCTGAATAACCTTAACAAATTTCAAAGTGCCCACTTGTAGGAATTCTCATACACTCTTAACCATGCCTATGTCACCCTCACAGCCTTTGGCAGAGATGTCTGTCTGTCTGTCTGTCTCTCTCTCTTGTTTACTTTCATACAAGACTCGCTGTAAACAGCATCCTATTTTTTAGACTACAAAAATTTTTCCAAGTACTTTAAAGTGGTACAGAACATATAAATATAAAGTTTAGAAGAAAATTAGAACAGCCCATAATGACCTTAAAATATGAGCTAAATGTACTTTTTAAAAAGTTTAGCCGGGCAGTGGTGGCGCACGCCTTTAATCCCAGCACTCGGGAGGCAGAGGCAGGTGGATCTCTGTGAGTTCAAGGCCAGCCTGGTCTCCAAAGCGAGTTCCAGGAAAGGCACAAAGCTACACAGAGAAACCCTGTCACAAGAAAAAAAAAAAAAAAAAAAAAAAAGTTTAAAAGCTTAAGTAGGATTTTAATTACCACTCAATGGTTTTTAAAATCTTGGTACAACTCAGTGAGGAGGGCTCTGTGGCCCCAGTGCATAGATCTCACCACTGGAGTTTAACACTTGGATGCCGCCAGAGGAATCCTCCTGAGAGCTATCCTGTTCTCTGACCTATGCACACCTCTGACCTGTCCTGGCATGTGTGCAGTTTGCACATGTGTACATACACACACTTTAAAAAAAAAAAATCAGTGTTTCCAGGCAGTAGTGTTTGAATGCTTTTAATCCCAGCACTTGGGAGCCAGAGGCACACAGATGTATGAGTTCGAGGCCAGCCTGCTCTACATGTTGAAACAATTATTTAAAAAGATGGCCCAGGGGTAAACGCACTTGCTACACAAGCCTAGTGACCAGAGTTCGATCCCTGGAACCCACATAAAGGTGGAAAGAGAGAACGGATCCACATTCTTGCTGTTGCATACGGGCACAAAATAATAATAATAACAATAATAATTACAAGATGGAAGGGTAAGATCACTAATTTTCTGGCCTCTGGAGCATATGGTTTCAAATATTCTCTAAATAAATGACATTACTTTCAAGGCACTTAGTTGCCTGGGGCCTTCCAGCCCCTACCCTGACTTTTCACTAAACTGAAAGAGTGAGTACAGGTTCCTGCACAGCTGAACAACTGGAAAGGGACAGGGAGGGAGAACTCAAGCAGTTCTCTTTAGCATTAGCTGGAAGCTCTAATTTCAAGTGGGTATTAGAGCTGGCATTCCATTCCCTGACTACAAAGTGAAGCGACAAAAGGAAAACATTGAAAAGATCCTTGACAAACTCTACAGTCCACAAAAATTACACTGCTTAAAAAATCTTTCCCAGGGGCTAGAGAGATAGCTCAGAGGTTAAGAGCAAGGACAGCTCTTCTAGAGGTCCTGAGTTCATTTCCCAGCAACCACATGGTGGCTCACAACCATCTATAATGAGATTTGGTGCCCTCCTCTGGTGTGAAGGCATGAATGCAGGCAGAACACTGTATACATCTTTTTTTTTTTTAAAAAAATCTTTCCCAATTACAAGACAGGCAGGGGATTAAAATTTCAAATATTTGAAGAAATCTAAAATTAAAGCCAACCTCAAACCATCCAGCTAATAAATGGGCTAATGAACTGGACACTCAGTTCTGAGAGGAGACACAGATGGCCAGTAAATGCTTAAGACCACCCAGCAGCCTCAGCCACAGGGAAACGCAAAAACTGGGCTTCTCTCAGTCCCTGGTCAGAAGGGCTACCGCCAAGACAAGTGCTGTGAGGACAGGAGGAAAGAGGAGCTCTAATTAACTGCTAGTGGAAAGACAGATGGAAATCAGCCTGGAGGTCTCTCAAAAAAACTAAAAACAGAAGTACCACATGATCCAGCTTATCACTCTTGGATCACTTATTACACATCCATGTTTATTGTTGCTCTATTCATAACAGCCAGGAAATGGAACTATCCTATTAAATGAAGCAAGCCAAACTTAGAAAGCTAAAAACTGTGTTTTCTTTAATATTTGGAATCTGGATTTGGGGGTGGGGTAGTAGGTAGATGCAGGGAAAAGAGACCATGAAACGAGAAGGGAGCTCATGAGAGGAGGAAGGGCTTTAAGAGGGAAAAGGAGTCTTAACATGCTAACACAAAGCAGGTGAGACAATCTGAGGGAAGGAAGAGAACCAGCTAGAGGGCAGAAAGAGGTGGTGATGGTGGTGGTGGTGCAGTGGAGAAGAGGGATTAATGAGAACACAGTATAATAATATACATGCACCAAAATGCAATATAAAACCCATTACACCTTGTTGGCTAACTTAAAAATTAAGGCAAAAAATACAACACACTAGAAAAGTCACTTAATTCAAATCAAAGCTTTGGAAACTTAAAATCTGATAAAATCAGCCAGGTGGTGGTTGCCCACACCTTTAATCCCAGCAGAGGCACGTAGATCTCTGAGTTTAAGGCCAGCCTGGTTTACAGAGTAAGTGCCAAGACAACCAAGGCTACACAGAGAAACCCTGTCTCAAAAAACAAACAAAAGTGGCAAGACCAAAAGATTAGTTTAAATTCGTAATTTTATGTAATGCATATCTCAGAAAAGGGCCTGGATGGCAGGGCCTGAATGTAAACAACAGGCAGTGGCTGACCTAGGATTCTAAAAGAGGCATCTAGTGACGGAGGGTGACAGAGTGACCCACTGTAGCTTCGTGTGGGGAAGAGCACTACCAGGAAGAGGTTCATGGGCAGAGTTCCTCTACAGATCTCTTCTGAAGCTTCTGGGAAGAACACTACAGCCAAGAGTCTGTGTTCATAGAAAGTACACTATTTTTAAAAGCATGATTCCATCCCATTAGAATTCACTCAAAGTGACAGGTGTCTCGTTTCCTTCTCCTATCAGCTTGTATACCTGTGCAACATAAAGGGCTTCACTGTGCATTCTCATCTATGTACACATTGTACTCAGTCATATCCACCTTACCTTCCTTCACCTCTTCTTCCCCTCCTTCCCATGCTGGTCCCTCCCTCCAAACTAGAATTCCTTCCATTTTCATGTCTTTAAAGAAAAAAAGACCTTTATATCCCACATATATGAGAGAAAACACATGGCATTTGTCTGAGTCTAGCATTATTTTGCTTAATGTGATGATCCATCCATTTTCCTGCAAATAATGTGATTTTGTTCTTCTTTATGTCTGAATAATATTCCATTGTGTGTATATCTATATCTATATCTAATCTATACACACACCCTTCACCTACTCACTCACCGACAGGCACCTAAGGGGATTCTCAAACCTGGCCACTGTGTATAGTGCTACAATGAAGATAAATGTGTGGATATCTTTGTAGATTTTTATTCCACTGGATGTATGCCATCAGTGTTATAACTAGGTTCTATGACAGTTCAACATTCATTCATTCATTTATTTATTTATTTATTTTTGCAGAATCTACATACTGATTTCCATAGTAGCTAAACTAATTTACATCCCCAGCAACTATGTACAAGGAATCCTTTTTCCCTGCACCCTCACCAGTATGTCAGCATGCCATTTATCTCCTTTATGATAGATGGAATCTCAATGTAAGTTTTTACTTGCATTTATTTCATGGTTAAGAAAGTTGAGCAATTTTTCATTTATATATAAATTGGTCATATGTTGTATTTCTTCTTAAAAATTTTACTATTATGAGAGATATAATCTATAATTGGGGGTATATGTGCCCCAGCACACATATGAAGGTCATAGAGATCGTAAAGTCAGTTATCTCTTTCTAAATGACACACACATTTTGAAGCTCAGACTTGTGCTGCCCTCCCGGCTTGTGCAAGTGCTGAAACCCATCACTGGCCCATTGGCTCTGCTTTCACAGTGGTCTGTCCGTATTTGTTCTTCTGCTGTTGAATTTTTTAGTTCCTTGTGTATTTAGGTATTAAGCCTTTGCTGCATGAATATGGTAAAGATTTTCTTCCAGTACAGGCTGTCTCTACCATGACAATTGCTTCTTTGCTGTGTAGCTTTTAAATGTGACAGAATACTGTTTGTCCAGTCTTGCTGTTGTGTCCTGAGTCACTGGAGTCCTCCTTACACAGTCTTTACCTATGTCTCCCTGGATTTTCCTCTGGCCAGTTCAAAGTTTTGAAGATCGACATAATTTTGAAATTTAGGTATTGATATAGCAAGCATTTATTATTGCAGTGGTTCTAGAACTGGGGAAGCAGGAGGGGAGTGTTATGGGCCTCACTGAGAACTCCTTTCTAACTCTGCTTATCCTGCACATGCCTAGAGAGTGACCACCTTTAAAAATGGAGTATGCTCTCATTTCTTAACTCAAACATTCTAGATTACTTTCTACATGATCCAGGTCAAAGTCCATGTGTCTAGGGACTCTCAAGAGGGCAACTTACCACCCCTGTCCCCAGGCATCTGCTCTACTCAGAAATGAAAGTTCATCTGTAGTGACCTGGGTGCTTTTGCGCACACAATCTACCCACAGAGCTTCCTTTCTTTGACCTTCTCATAAGTTCACAAGAAAACCCAATAAAGGAACAACAAAAATAGCTCATCAATCCTTGCTGTTACGTTTAATGATACTTTCTATTTGTACCTATTTTTGCAGTAACAGCTCCTGGGCATACTCATTTTTTCACAGACATTTATCTTCATATTTCAGTATCTAACAGGACCCACATTTATTTCCAAGTCTGAACAACTCTGTCTCAAGTTCCCTCTTTTCCATACCTCCACTGCTTGCCTGCCAGTGAGTGGTATTGTCTCTACATGACAGGTGGCTAGCACCCAGACACATGATCCTGAGCACCCTCTACTTGTTCTCGGATCTGGTCCATAGCCACATCCTGGACACGAACTCTTTCAAAGTTAATACCTTTATTTCTGCATTCTGTCCACTATCTTCTATGCATCCTACTCTTTTAGCTTTTATTACATCAAAATCTGTTATATAAACCTACAGACATGAATTAACCCTCCCTTTATAACCTGGACCTCACTTTCAAGGAATTTACCACACAAGGTTGATTTTCTTGTGTCCTACCTCACTAAATCAATGATTCCAAACCAGAACCCAAGTTCCCTAGCATCCATAGAGCAAAGCTGGAGAAAAATGACCACACTCATTACAAACTTAGGATTCCAAACACAGACCTTAACTAAGGCCAAAAATTAACCATGTTACCTAATCCTAAGGTGGGTGTGAGAACCAAAATGGTTTTTTGAGACAGACAGCACTCATCCTGCTTTCCTAGACTGTGAGGAACCTATTGAAATACCTCTTTCTTTAAGATAGACCTCCTCATGTCATGTACCATGTCTGTTCAGGATACCAGTTAGACTCTAACTGGTAGAGTCTTTACAGCACCGTGTCTCAGAGAAAGGAAATGCCAGCAGGGGTGGGAGCTGAGGGGAGAGGCAAAGATCACAGCATCCAAGTTTTTCATTGCACAGTACTCTATCTTCATTGCCTAATTAAATTAAAACCTATACCATAACCCCAAGATCTGGATACTAAGCAAACTGTAGGCACATGACTCTCTTATTAGACCAGGATTTTAAACTTTCAAAGTATCTAGTACAGTATCTAAAAATGTGAATCTCTGTTATGTAAATTTAAAAAAACTAAAGAAAAAGGCTTACCAAGGGTGGATCGAGATAACTATGTGTTGCTGACCACGTCTGAGGGGCAATCAGGCCATACAGAGGGAACTGCTGCTGGGGACTGTACACTGGAGGTAAGTAAAAGGATGTAGCATAACGTTGCTGTGTGTAAAGGTTCATGTCCAGAGGTCTAAATCCATTCTTTGGCAAAAATGTGTTTATCGCTATTGCCTTTGCTTTTATCCGTGCCTGTTTGGAGACATTTAAGTTCCAATTAGAACATTGAAGAATGCTGATCAGACAATAAAGAAGCTATAAGCAAGTGGTCTTGCTTACCTTAATTGGCTTTCCTTGAAAAGTTCTGACTTCTTCTCGAAGGTATTTGTAAGCCTAGGGGTAAAATCATCCAAAATACCATTTTGTTAACTTTATAAGTTAACTCACAGCTCAAATAATTATATGTATGGTTGACTACAGCTGACAGGATCCAAGAGTGATTGATTCCTGATCCTCTTTCAGACACAGATTCCTAAAAATATTCTTATTATGGTACCTGCACCCCAAATTATTGCAAAATATTTAAATATAATTTTTTAAGTACTAATAAATACCACATGAGCATCCCCAAGCCAGAAGCTAAGACTCCTGATCTAGAAACAAAAAAGGAATACTGCCTCCCTCATATTAATTCCAATTTGAAACTGGGATTATGTAGTGCAGGGAAAGCAGTGATTGAAAGGAAAGAAAAGATTGAAATATTCGAGTCATTATTACTATGTAGCTTCCATGTTTATCTGCAAATTAAATCTTTATCAAGCCCCCACTTCACGCAGAAGCTCCTCTATGCTCACCTACCAGATTCACCAGGCAGGCCACAAGGCCACAAAGCACAGTGCTTCTTCCCTTCTGGCCTTTCAAGTTTTTGTGTTTTTTCTTCTAACCCTCTGATCTAACATTTCTAACATTTTATACTTGTTAGTATGTTTCCCCTAAATCAAACACCTCTTCTAAGAGCCCAAAACTTCTCAATACCTTTGAAAGTACCTTGCCACAAAATGGATGCTCCTCACAGGTCAGAGTTAGGTACAAATTTCCCCATGCAAACAAATTTTTCTCTTCTCAGATGTGAGACCAGATATGACTTGAGACTGCTAACTCAGAGTACACATTACTTAAGAAGTAATGTGTCATGCTTTCAGTAGTGCTACAGAAATACACCTGTGGGTTCCTCCCAGTCAGTGTTCTCTGCCCTTAACTCAATGTCCTAACTTCTGCTATGCACTGATGGTAAACTACGTACTTCACAGGCTGGGAGAGAAATGCACTTACCTGCTGTGCATCAGCTTCTGTTTCAAAGGTAATAAACCAATTATCATTGTAGGCAAATTCACAGTTTATAAATTTTGGTAAATTATCTCCTTTAAATAGTGCTTCTACTTCCTACAGGAAACAAAGAAGTTAGAAATTAGTCCTCACTTATGCTACTTTTGGTCCTCATCAAATTAGGAGGAAAATTTACTCTCATGCTATGATGCACCTCTAACCTTCTTTCAGAAACACTGCAGGGAGCACTCACAGGATCACATGCCACAGACCAAGAAGTCATTACTGACAGCTCTCCCTACTCACAAGGAACTGGAACTTGAACAGTAGGGGCTGGGATGTGCTGGCTTGGAAGCATGCTTTGCCTAGCACACAAGAAGCCCTGGGTTTGATCCCCAATACCACATAAACTGAGGATCAGAACAATCAAGCTCAGGGTCATCCTCAGCTACATAAAGAGTTCAGGGCCATCTGGGATAGAGGACTCCTTAACAGCAGAGGATAGAGGAGGGGACGAGGAGGGGAGGGAGGCAAGGGGGGAGGAAGAAAACTGTTTTATCAGCAGGCTGATAAATACATGATTTTATTTTAAAAGATAGTTTGAAAAACAAAAATACTAACTGAATTGTTGTTTCTGGCCAAGGTGAACTAGATTTACAGTCCCAAATAACACAAGTAAAAAGTAAAAAGATAAAACATGTGCTATAAGGTTTTCCAGACACCTGTCATCAGTAGGCTAGGAGAGCGAGCCTTCCCTGAGAGAACATGAATAGAGTGGGTCAATAATGCCCAGGGTTTCCGGGTCACAGGATGGGCAAGTCTCCAGAGTTTTGGGGCCGGTTCTCTCTAGGCCACTGGCCAGAAACAAAACTAGAATGGTCAGGTAGAATAACCCTATAGCCAGCTCACTGAGCAGCCAGAGTGGCGAATCCTTAACTCAGAGAACTGCAGGCAAGTGAACAAGAGTGTGCCCCATATGAAGGCTGTTCCGAGCCACTTCACAAATGTGCAGAAACCAAACTGGCACCAAATAATTTCTTGCCTGTGTTTTGGAGCTGGGCATCTTGCTGTTTGGCTCAGAATAGCCTTGGACTCCTGGGCTTAAATAACCCTTCCTGCCTTAGTCTTGAGTAGCTGGGACTACCAAGGATCTTAACTGAATCTCAGAATATCAATTAGAATTCAAAACTATTCAGTACCTAGTGAAGTAACAATCACACAGAGACATAGAAAAGGTTGGGCTATAATGAGAAAGATTAATCAGATTCATCTTAAAATAAAACAAATGACAGTATTGGTAGACAAGTACACCAGAATAGTTACTGAATGTCCATTTCAAATGCTCAGAAAGGTAAAGCTTGAGAATGATAAACTACAAAGCTATGCCAGAAGACAATCTATAATCAAACTGCTTAAACCAATGATACAATCTTCTAAGAGCCAGAGAAAAAGAGGTACAATATAGAGGAACAAAGGAAAAAAAAAAAAACTGGCAGAATTTTTTCAGCAGAAACAATGTGGATTAGAAGAGAACAATGTGTTTAAAATGGGTCATATGGCATCCCTAGCTACCACATACTGCACGCAGCTGGTGGGCTGCAGGCTGGACATGCCTGAAAGCACTAAAAATGGTAAATATTAGGGCCAATCATGGTGGCACATACCTATAATGCCAGCATTTAGGAGGCTGAGGCAGCAGGATCATGAGTCAAAGGCCAGCCTGGACTACATAATGAGACCTCGCCTCTAGAGAACCCAAACTAGACCAATCATCCAACAGAGACAAAACCCAAACAACCTCCCCAAGCCCAAACAAACAATAACAACAGAAGCAAAGAAAACAAACTGTGAAATGATAAAGATCCACATCATACACCCTACCCACCCATTACTCTTATTTCTTTTTTCTTTTTCTTTTTCTTTTTTTTTTTTTTTTT